GAATTTCCTGAGGTGCCATATTGCCATCTCAGGGTGCAGTTCCTAATTCAGAGAATTAAAATGCGGCCGTCTCTGTCTGTGATGGCAGTAATGAGCAGGCTGGGTCTGATGTCTGCATCCTCTAGCATCCTATGTGGCTCTGAGATATAGCAGCACCAAATTAGCCAGTGGTATCCTACCTCACCTTCAAAAGGGCAGAGAGCAGGTATGAGGGTGTTTGAAATAATCTCAAGAAGTCTTGTTCTGAACTATCCTTTCAGAGACTGAGTCATTTCTGGGCAGAGAGGGCAGAACTGGAAAGTAAGTAAGAATTGCCTTGGGAATCAGTGGTTGACCAGCTTGGTGGCCTCCATCTTTGGTGAGTTTTATTCCTTTCTCTGATCACTTGCTCATACTTAACCTCCAGATGTTGTAAGCAATGTCATCGGTAGGACCACACTGGGCAAAATCACTGGTACTGTGAGAAACATCTGTGGGCAGCATCCTACTGTTTGTGTACCCTGAGAATCATTTCATATTTATTGAGAGACACTTGGAAGAGGCATGTGTAGTGGTGAGGAACATGGCCTTTGGACTGGGACAGTTTTATATTTTAATCCCCACTCCATTACTGAAAAGAGCTGTTTGGCCTTGGGAAATTACTTAAATTTTCACATCCTCACATGTACAAACTGAAATCTGGGAATAAATCTCTGTAACTCATAAAATCATTTCAAAGATTAAATCATGTAATACTTCAAGGGCTCAGTGCTGTACTAAATAGTCAATAATGGTAGGTAACTATTAAATTAGCTGCTGTTATCATAGCTACTTAAAATATTATCCTATTTTAAATACGTGTGTTCCTTTAAAGTTTCCTAGAGGTCCATACAAAGTTTTCATTAATAAAAATCAAACCAATTAGGAAAGCACTTCTCTGTTTTAGAGAAAAGCCAGCTGGCGAGTCATTTGTAATTTCTCCTGAGTTGTTGGGCTCTAAAGCTCCTTAGATCCAATATTCATGTTGATAGTACCCTCATTTCAATAATACGACCTCAAAGAATTCCATTCAGTTAGTGAGGCAAGTTATTTGTTTCCTGAAACCACATGAGCTCCTCTAAACTGAGTTTCTGCTCTTCCTCCGTTTGATTTCCTAAAATAGTTTCTGAAGATTTTAACCACAACTGAATCAAAACTAACCAGCCTGTAATTTCCTGGTATGTCCCTATGGCCTTTCTTTTAAAACAAAACACACACACAAAATGGCATTGTATTGGCTGATTCCCAGTGTTTCGGGGTTTTGACTGGAGTAAGCTGGAACATGTCCGTGAAAGCTACTCTAATTTCTCTTCGTTCGTCTTTTGGAGGAGGCTCAGGGTTGTTTGTGGCTTCGTGATGTTGTGTTTATCAAAATTAGGCAGTTTTCATTTTGAATCATTTTAAGAAAAATTTTAAAACACTGTCTGTTCATCGCTCTTTACATTTTCCTTTTCTTCGAGTCCCCAAGAAAATAAGGCAACTTGTTCAAAGCACATGAGCTACAAAAAGAAACAACTCTTCATTTATACAAAAGATGCTATCTAAAAAAGCCCAAGAAAGAATAGACTATTTATTTGAATTCATAAATGAAAATCACAGTTAGAATATATCTGGATTAAAAAAATAATACATTTGCATTTGTATCAGTTTTTGTAAAAAACGAAACATTCTGAACTCAGAAGAAAATAAGACTAGATTTAATCTAATTATTTAAATGGCTAATGACTGTATCATAGTCATTTTCATCTACTTTTATGATTAAATGCTTTATTTTAGTTGAATTTTCAATAGAAATGAAATATTCTGATTCATAATTGTTTTGTTTTTAAATAAATGTTCATAAGTAACCTATAACATAAAAATTGGAGTTAAAAGGAAGCAAAATGAGTGAAAAAATTCAGATATTGATTAAATTAAAACAGTCCAGAACAGAAACCAATCAATTTATTTTAAAATAATAAAGAACATTATGAGACTACATGTGGCTAGTATATTGTTTCTATAAATATTTGATCCAAGAATATATGAATTAATGACAGACGCATAATGTAGAGCTAAAAATGTTAAATAAATGTTGAGGTAATTATTATTATTATTATTATTTTTTTGGTACCGGGGATCGAACTCAGGACCTTGCACTTGTGAGGCAGGCGCTGGAACCACTGAGCTAAATCCCCGGCCCTTGTTGAGGTAATTATTTAGGAAAACTTCATTTCTAAATGAAACACTTTAATCTACATTTTAAAATGTGACAAAAATTTAACTTGGGATTACTATGCAGAAGAAGTTATATTCGGATGTGCTAAAATATATTTACAGAAATAAAGTACATTCCTTTGTGTACTCTATTTGGAAGTAATTAACAGTGTTTCCAAATAGATAAATATTTTAAAGTAGATTCTATTTATTTTCTATTTATTCCAGAATTTGTGCCCCAGAAATTTACATGCTAAAGGGCTTTAAAATTATTCATAAAACATCTTTATAATATGAATAACATTAACTTTTAATAATTATTTTTATTATATTAATTAGCCAGCAAGCTTTCTTTCTTGCAAAGCAGAAAGCAAAAGCAATGTTAAAGTGTTGTAAGTTATTAAACTTTAGAGTCTGAGATATCTTTACTATATTTGGCAGCTGAGTATTATTTACCATTTATTTTTAAGAAAAGTTTTGATTAAGATAGGATTAAATATATCGTGATACATTCTGTTTATACAAATATACAAATATAAGCTTACTATTTATATTTGCTCTACCTTTCTTTCTAATATTTTCTATAATTACTGTTGGGGTATTTTTAAGCTATTCATTTTTTTAAAATTCAGTTCCAAAAGTTAAAAGAAGATACAAAACATTCTTTGGGTTGTACAGATGTAAGCAATGTACTGTAATTAGCATTTGAAAGAGAACTTCTATATGAATTTCATGTTGTGGTTAAAAAGCTGAAGATTTAGTCACTCCCCTTGTAGGAATTGCAGAATTTCATCCTAGGTTCAGGAAAGAGGAAGAATTTGGGTAAAATCCTCTTTTTCTTTTCTTTATTCATTTTCTAACGCACAGCACGGTATCACTTTTACATAATTTCTGTTCATTTCACTTTCTGCCATACTCCCGGCTGGGCTGACAAGCATTAACCTCAATAGTTCCATCTGACCTCTTGGGCAGTGTTGTTGAAATAAACATAGATTACATCATCCCACGTACAACTCCTTTCATCTTGCCTTTACCAGAAGTACTTTCTGCAAAGTATTCCATTCCAATCAGTTTTCATCAATTTATTTAGCACCTACTCATCTGATTTTTGACTTGGGGATTTGAAGTTGGTGCTTTGGGACCCACCCCCGCAAACAGACATTAAATTAGATCATGAAATTTTTGCCTCTTAATTGTTCAAAGACTTCCCTTACCGAGTCAAATAATTTTTTCTTTAATATCTACAGTTCAAGCCCCAATTCCTTAGGATTCTCTCAATTTTCAACAAGTAAATTAAAATTATTTCCATATAATCAGAATCTCACAGCAATATTATTGCAGCTCACAATTCACAGAATTGGTGAGCAAAATAATAATGCAAGAATATTTTTATATTCATTGCATGCTTTAAAAAATTTCCTAAGCTACTGGGAGAAGGTATTTCTTTTTACTTAAGCTTTGTTAATTGAAATCTACAGTGTTCCTATAATAAGAAATAACTGCTTTTAATAATAAATGGTAAACAAGTAAATTGACACTCTTTAGCATGCTATTTATAGGTCCATGGAAAAGTGCAAAACACAAAAGATGCAGGAATTTTCACAAGACTCAATCTACTTTTCATAATTCATATTTCCATATGACACGAATTTAAACACGCAAGAGGAGATGTTACTATATTAGCTTCAAGTTTTCCAATTTTTCTTCTGCCAAGTTTTAATTTCCATGAGTATTTCTTAAGGTACAGTCAGTCCCCTGTACACGATGGAAAAAACTTCAATAGATGAAAACTCATACCATCAAGCATATTCATATGAGCAGAAATTTCCTGAGGACAATATGCACTACCCCAATAAGATGCTATATAGAGAATCTCTTTGAAAAACATAAAGCCCTATTCTGTAAGCACAAAGTAATACTATTATTATTATTACTATTTATTATTCCAAAATTATTCTGTCAAGAAGACAATTCAAATAGGAAACTAGATTTGGGGGTCTTGAATAAAGTATTATTGGTATACATTTACTTTTTCTTTCAGTACTAATTGATTTTTGTGTAAACACACACATTACACATACACATACAGAGGCATTTGGCTTTGGCTTTCTAAAAATATTTCAGCTTGATTTGGAAAATAAGAAAAGAATTTCTCATTTTGAGCACTGATCATAATAAATGGAGTTGAACTGTGCATTTCTTTGCTAAAAGTATTTTTAAAACATTATCAGATGCAAATGTTAATATTTTGAAAGATCCCGATTGATTTCCATAGGCAAATTAAATGAGAAATCCACATGTGAAGTAATGATCACATAGTAGTGATGGATTGTTGATAAAACAGTTACTTTATTAGGAAGGTGCAGATGTCTCCATTATCTTAATAGCCACGCCTCCTGAATATCAAATAGAATAGTTTAAATGGTTGGAGCCTGACTTGAGGAGTTTTTTTGCCCCCTTTCTATATTTACTTCTTCTGGCACCCTGTTTCTTTCCTAGGTCATTTCCTTGCTAAAAATATAAATATACTACCATAAAAACCATCTGGAATACATGCCTTGAATATTGTCATTTTCATATATGAGGAGGCTTATTTTTAATAGATTTATCATAATCCCTCCAGCAGATCTTTGGAGAGACTTTTCACTAAGAATCTGAGGTGACAGGTATATTTGCCAGGTAACACTTAATAGTGGCTTAAGAAGAGAGGAAGTGGTCCCGGGGAAGTTTGGCTGAGTTTCATTCACTGCTTGCCCTCTTTGGACAACCCACGTGTCATACGGTACCTTCTTTACATTTTCCCGTTGTTGCTGGTCCTTTAATTTAATCTGGAGAAGTTGAAATTTCAGGAGTTTCCCTATCAATGGTAAGGTCAGTTTCTCTCCACTGTCCATAATTGTTTTTGCTGCAATTAACACCTGTGAAGAAATACAATTATTAGAAAAAGTGACATTTTAGAACCTTTGACACAGCCTGTCAATGATGAAAAGATGAAAGGGTGTGTTATTATATGTTTTGCAATATTTGTCGAATTGCAAAGGTGCTTTATTGCTGACCCCAAAAAAGGAAAAACATCCCAGTGTCGTCAAATAAAAATTTGATTGATGTCTGAACATCAACTTCTTTTTCCAATAAGGCAGAGAGTAGTTCCCAACAATGGTGTTAGACTCAGACTCCCAGAAAAGCAGAAGAGAAAGAGGCAGGGTTCTATTTGGGGATGAGCAACACAGGTCACTTTCATGCTACAAAATGTCTGTTGTCTGGCATAGCCAGTAGCCCAAACTGTCAAACTTTGACTTATTAGGACATTATAAATTAAATAGGGCTTTATAATAGTGGAAATGACTATGTTAGCAGGCTTTTATTTCTTGATGACCAAATTCAAATGAAAGATAAAAGTGGATTGACACAGAGGCACCACATGAATGCTACCCCCCTTACAACTTAATGTTGATCCTTTTGGTATGCAGCCTAATTGGGGTGAAATAAGGTTATTGAGTTTTCTTTGGGTGACGACAGCCACTAGGAACATACAGCTGTATTGTCCAGATGTGTGGCACTGACAGCCTGTTTTATGACTGTGTTTTTTACAGCTTGTTTCCCCTAAATTTCACACAACTCTCTAACATCTGGGCCCTTTTCCTTGGAGTCCTATAAGCATTTTATTTACTGCAAAAAAAATAAAATCACGTAAAATATACCATAAAAGTTGTTATGTGTTTCTCTTTATTCGTGTTGTCTCCTTAATAAAGTTCACGTCTGCCTGCAGGACTGTCACAGAAGCAATCTAGTTAAAGTATTGTTTAAGTTTTGTTCTTAAGCTAGCATCATATTTATTTATAACCCTGAGATGAATTAGGTGTTACTCAAATGTTCTGACATGCTGCTTCTCCCCCTGCCTCCCATAACAATCACTTTTTGCCGTGCATATGGTGTCAATTTCAGGCCCTCGGTCTCAGACGATGACCGCCTGCCCTGCATCCCTCGAGCTGTGTCTTGTCTGAGGTTCATACCAGTTCTTGGTCAGGGCTTCATGGCCAGCCCAGCTCCTTTGACTTTCCCTTTGCCAACAGAAATAGCTGAAAGAGAGAGAGATGCATATTTTGCTTCTAACTGTGATGGCCATGTGGATTATCATGTGCCAAAATGTAACTGGACCTCTTAGAGACCACATCAGGGTTTCCGGCATTGCCTGGCAGAATGGGAAATGCAGGGAAAGGATTCCATTAAAGTCATCTTTTCTAAAAACCAAAGGAACAAAGCAAGCACCAGAAAGCTGCATGTGTGTCTAATGGACTACTCTCCAGGAAACACAGCGCTTTGCTTTCATGGCAGTTCTCCTCCTGCTAACTCCATTTAGGAAGATGGACGTGATGGCTATGATTTCTGGGAGCAGGAAAACTCATAGTACACCTGCAGGACCTCACCATTTAATGATGAGCAGACCCAAGATGGAAGGGGATCCTTCAGGGACCACAGGTCAGGCCCTCGCTGTAAAATGAACACTGTTCGTCTGGTCCAACCCCAAGAGTAGGCATCAACGTTTGGTTGGAGATGGAATTTTTTAATCCCAGTGAAACAGTATGCTGACAGTCAGGGTGCTTTGTGACATTCCAAAATATATTCAAATTGGGGTTTCTAAAGCTCAGAGCAGTCTAGCATGGAGCGCCACGAAGACAATGACAATGTTGAAGGGAAGTCAGCCCTGGAATGGGCTACCCAAGTATGGCAGTGGAGTCTCTTTTCCTGATGATCTGTGAAAGCAGGAGGATACTCGTGTGTGCCTGGGGGCCGGGCTTTGCCTGCCTGGAGTCAAGGTGATGGATGAGATGTCTCTAGAGGTGCTCTCTAGCCTCTCATCTCTTGAAGTCTATGAATCTTGCCTCACTGTGTTAAAATGGACTCAACGCACAACAAAACATCCCCCAAGCAAGGTATTTTGCAGGCCCTAAAAAGTATTTCTGGTTTGTCTAAAGCTACCTGCAGAGTTCTAGGTTTCAAACACAAATCTGGCCTAGCATCAAAGTAACGGGGATGCCCTGGCCTGATCTGGGAGAAGTGATGGGGTTGTCACTGGTGCTGTGGACACCAGTGTCCTCTTGACGTGTAGACAGAGACCGAGTACTGTGTAGAGAGAGGCAGCATCAGGGAAGGCCCTGTGGGAGCCCGAGGAGTGGCCTGTATGGAGGGGATACAGGCCAGATTTGCCTGGCCAAGGCACAGTCTGCACGAGCCACTGTTCGCAGTGGCAGAGGCTGGGCATACTTGTTCTCTCCTCTGCTGCTCTGAATAGACTTGACTCTACAAGTGCCACTTTCAGACCACGCTGTGAGTCTTCAGGATCATTCATGAAAATGGGGCTCTGTGCTGAATTCAAAATATGAGACTGAAAATGTTCTTGGTCATGCGGGTCATCCCAGGAGAGCAGAACAAGGAAGGTGCTTACGAATGAGTTTCCATTTAAAGCGCTTTCTTCAACACCCCATAAGTCACAATTCCACCTAGTCAGTAGCCAGAAGTTTGGTATCAGATGAAAACCAAATCCTCAGAAGACTTATGTGTGAAAGACGTTGTTAGGGGCATTAAAAACTGCAGAGGACACAATCTTGAGGGGAAATATACCTCTCTCAGAACATTTCTGAAAGCCTTCTTCTCTACTGCAAATCTTTGGCTTTCTGTAAAGGTCCAGCACCCATGGCCTGAGTATGTGTATATCTGTGCATGAGTTTCTGTATGTGTGCATAAGGAGCAAGATGACAAGAGCTGTAGGTTTTGGGAAGATGAGCAACATGATATAAAGTGGTAGCAACAACGTGCCAGTGGGCAGGGAGTAATTAGAGAAAAATCTAAGCTTCCTATCTAGGCAGAGAAGCAGTCCTAAGTGGATAAAAGCCTGAGTACTCATGAGGCTTAAACAGCAAGCAAGTGTGCTTAGCATGAGCCAGAAATTCACACACACAAACATGAGTCATGGGCAAATGGAACTTACTCAGAATAGGGACTGCTGCCAAGCAAGGCCTGAGAATCCCCGGACTTCCTTATGTCAGGTCTCCGGGGGTGGGGGTTTGGGAAGGGACTGGGGAGACCCTGGGTCCAGCAACCGAAAATGTTTTTTCCCAGGAAAGATGGCTACAGGAGAAAATGATGTCTCAAAGACTGTAGCTGAGGTAGAAAGCCATGTCTGTTGTGTGAAGGTATTTGTTTTGGGCTGGTATAGATGCTCTTTTCATCTTGAGAAGTTTGTGATTCTGAGCACATTAAGGAAAAAAACCCACATCATTTCTCTCTGAATCACTGACCTGGCTCAAAGCTTTACCATTTAAAACAAATGGGTCCAATTCTTTCCTTGCCTCCCCAGGCCCTCCCTCTCTCTTCTAGCCATTCCTCCTTTCTGCAGTACCTGCTCATATTAGTAAGCACAAACATCTGTCTGCCCAGTATGTAGAACTGCCTCACGCATTCCCATGGAAGCCAGATGGATAGATGGATGGGTGGATGGGTGGATGGATGGATGGTGAATGATGGATGGATAGAATGGAAAACCATGAGGTTTTCTGCGTGATTTCCTTGGCATGCTTATAAAACAACATACAGAGCAGCTTGAATCATTGCTTAACTTACATATTAATCATAGAGGAGTTCTGAGGATGTGCAAGAATTTCGGATCTGCATTTCTCTTCCTTGAAATACGTTTTGGGGGCAAGGTGGAGGAGAAGAGGGCAAGGTGAGGCTGTGTGAGACAGAAAGGAGAGGGCTAATAGGAGAGAGATGACCTGGGGAAGACTTTCCCCACGATAGCTCCAAGTAGCCACTCGTTTCCCCTAAAAGAATCCATTGATTTCAGAGCCTTCCTGACCAGTGGGTTTATTGCAGTAATTGCAATAATCCACAATGTATGACTTCGTATCTAACTCAATTTGGGAGGTTAGTGACTTAGGATTGGTTCAGATATATAAAGACCTCAGCAAGCAGGAGTGGATCCACACCCTAGATTTGATCCAGTTTATACAAGACAGAACAAACAGGCTTTGGATTCAGAGAAGACCTAAGTTTTTTTTTTTTGGTGTCACATTTTTGGGTATCTTATTTCATTAGTATATGATTAGTTCAACAAAGGAAGAATATTATTGTTCTTCATCATGGTAAAAAGTCTAATGATGTTCTGTGAAAGGAAAATGCTTCCCCGACTCCTTCCACTAACCCTTCCCCAGAGATAATCACTGTTAACCAAGTCTTGTGTATCCTTTCATAATCCCCTGTACATGTATAAACAGATATGTATAACCTTTTTATGCTTTATACAAATGACATGATGTTATCATATTAAGTGATTTGTGGTGTGTGTTTTTACATAAAAACATAATCAGGGCAGCTTTCTGTGCCAATATGTTTTGTTTACATATGCATTTTTTAAAAAAATTTAATCTTATTGGACATGTGCATTTTTGAATAGGCAGCAGAGTCATACAGTTGTTTGGTTGTTTATTTAACTAGTTCCCTATTGGTGGATATTTAGATTTAGGGTATTTCCTTTTTTCTGTTAAGTGCATTTGTATTTTTGTTAGTAGCATTTCTGTTCTCACCAATGTATAAAAAGATCTTTCCCTACTCACTTTATTAATGCTGAGAATTCTCCAATTACATCTTTGTGCACATTGGTGCTGATGGAATTTTGGTGATGACTGAGATGTTCTGTATCTGTGCTGTATGGTATGGTAGCCACTGGCCACAGATGCCTGCTGAGTAGCTGAGTAGTGCTCGTGAGACTGAGGAGCTGAAAGTGTTAGTTTTAGTTTTTAGCTGATTAAATGGTCACAAAGGTTAGTGGCTACTCTTTTGGTCGGGGGGGGGGGTCTAGATGATAGTGAATAGAGTATCTCATTTAAAATTATGACTATGTAACCATTCCATCACTTTT